TCGAAAAATCGAAAAATCGAAAAATCGAAAAATCGAAAAATCGAAAAATCGAAAAATCGAAAAATCGAAAAATCGAAAATCGAAAAATCGAAAAATCGAAAAATCGAAAAATCGAAAAATCGAAAAATCGAAAATCGAAAAATCGAAAAATCGAAAAATCGAAAATAAATCGAAAATCGAAAAATCGAAAAATCGAAAAATCGAAAAATCGAAAAATCGAAAAATCGAAAATCGAAAAATCGAAAAATCGAAAAATCGAAAAATCGAAAAATCGAAAAATCGAAAAATCGAAAATCGAAAAATCGAAAAATCGAAAAATCGAAAAATCGAAAAATCGAAAAATCGAAAAATCGAAAAATCGAAAAATCGAAAAATCGAAAAATCGAAAAATCGAAAAATCGAAAAATCGAAAAATCGAAAAATCGAAAAATCGAAAAATCAAAATCGAAAAATCGAAAAATCGAAAAATCGAAAATCGAAAAATCGAAAAATCGAAAAATCGAAAAATCGAAAAATCGAAAAATCGAAAAATCGAAAAATCGAAAAATCGAAAAATCGAAAAATCGAAAAATCGAAAAATCGAAAAATCGAAAAATCGAAAAATCGAAAAATCGAAAAATCGAAAAATCGAAAAATCGAAAAATCGAAAAATCGAAAAATCGAAAAATCGAAAAATCGAAAAATCGAAAAATCGAAAAATCGAAAAATCGAAAAATCGAAAAATCGAAAAATCGAAAATCGAAAATCGAAAATCGAAAAATCGAAAAATCGAAAATCGAAAAATCGAAAAATCGAAAAATCGAAAAATCGAAAAATCGAAAAAATCGAAAATCGAAAATCGAAAAATCGAAAAATCGAAAAATCGAAAAATCGAAAAATCGAAAAATCGAAAAATCGAAAAATCGAAAAATCGAAAAATCGAAACGAAAATCGAAAAATCAAAAATCGAAAAATCGAAAAATCGAAATCGAAAAATCGAAAAATCGAAAAATCGAAAAATCGAAAAATCGAAAAATCGAAAAATCGAAAAAATCGAAAAATCGAAAAATCGAAAAATCGAAAAATCGAAAAATCAAAAATCGAAAAATCGAAAAATCGAAAATCGAAAAATCGAAAAATCGAAAAATCGAAATCGAAAAATCGAAAAATCGAAAAATCGAAAAATCGAAAATCGAAAATCGAAAAATCGAAAAATCGAAAAATCGAAAAATCGAAAAATCGAAAAATCGAAAATCGAAAAATCGAAAAATCGAAAAATCGAAAAATCGAAAAATCGAAAAATCGAAAAATCGAAAAATCGAAAAAATCGAAAAATCGAAAAATCGAAAAATCGAAAAATCGAAAAATCGAAAAATCGAAAAATCGAAAAATCGAAAAATCGAAAAATCGAAAAATCGAAAAATCGAAAAATCGAAAATCGAAAAATCGAAAAATCGAAAAATCGAAAAATCGAAAAATCGAAAATCGAAAAATCGAAAAAATCGAAAAATCGAAATCGAAAAATCGAAAAATCGAAAATCGAAAAATCGAAAAATCGAAAAATCGAAAAATCGAAAAATCGAAAAATCGAAAATCGAAAAATCGAAAAATCGAAAAATCGAAAAATCGAAAATCGAAAAATCGAAAAATCGAAAAATCGAAAAATCGAAAAATCGAAAAATCGAAAAATCGAAAAATCGAAAAATCGAAAAATCGAAAAATCGAAAAATCGAAAAATCGAAAAATCGAAAAATCGAAAAATCGAAAAATCGAAAATCGAAAAATCGAAAAATCGAAAAATCGAAAAAATCGAAAAATCGAAAAATCGAAAAATCGAAAAATCGAAAAAATCGAAAAATCGAAAAATCGAAAAATCGAAAAATCGAAAAATCGAAAAATCGAAAAATCGAAAAATCGAAAAATCGAAAAATCGAAAAATCGAAAAATCGAAAAATCGAAAAATCGAAAAATCGAAAAATCGAAAAATCGAAATCGAAAAATCGAAAAATCGAAAAATCGAAAAATCGAAAAATCGAAAAATCGAAAAATCGAAAAATCGAAAAATCGAAAAATCGAAAAATCGAAAAATCGAAAAATCGAAAAATCGAAAAATCGAAAAATCGAAAAATCGAAAAATCGAAAAATCGAAAAATCGAAAAATCGAAAAATCGAAAAATCGAAAAATCGAAAAATCGAAAAATCGAAAAATCGAAAAATCGAAAAAATCGAAAAATCGAAAATCGAAAAATCGAAAAATCGAAAAATCGAAAAATCGAAAAATCGAAAAATCGAAAAATCGAAAAATCGAAAAATCGAAAAATCGAAAAATCGAAAATCGAAAAATCGAAAAATCGAAAATCGAAAAATCGAAAAATCGAAAAATCGAAAAATCGAAAAATCGAAAAATCGAAAAATCGAAAAATCGAAAAATCGAAAAATCGAAAAATCGAAAAATCGAAAAATCGAAAAATCGAAAAATCGAAAAATCGAAAAATCGAAAAATCGAAAAATCGAAAAATCGAAAAATCGAAAATCGAAAAATCGAAAAATCGAAAAATCGAAAAATCGAAAATCGAAAATCGAAAAATCGAAAAATTCGAAAAATCGAAAAATCGAAAAATCGAAAAATCGAAAAATCGAAAAATCGAAAAATCGAAAAATCGAAAAATCGAAAAATCGAAAAATCGAAAATCGAAAAATCGAAAAATCGAAAATCGAAAAATCGAAAAATCGAAAAATCGAAAAATCGAAAAATCGAAAAATCGAAATCGAAAAATCGAAAAATCGAAAATCGAAAAATCGAAAAATCGAAAAATCGAAAAATCGAAAATCGAAAAATCGAAAAATCGAAAATCGAAAAATCGAAAAATCGAAAAATCGAAAAATCGAAAAATCGAAAATCGAAAAATCGAAAAATCGAAAAATCGAAAATCGAAAATCGAAAAATCGAAAATCGAAAAATCGAAAAATCGAAAAATCGAAAAATCGAAAAATCGAAAAATCGAAAAATCGAAAAATCGAAAAATCGAAAAATCGAAAAAATCGAAAAATCGAAAAATCGAAAATCGAAAATCGAAAAATCGAAAAATCGAAATCGAAAATCGAAAAATCGAAAAATCGAAAAATCGAAAAATCGAAAAATCGAAAAATCGAAAATCGAAAAATCGAAAAATCGAAAAATCGAAAAATCGAAAAATCGAAAATCGAAAAATCGAAAAATCGAAAAATCGAAAAATCGAAAAATCGAAAAATCGAAAAATCGAAAAATCGAAAAATCGAAAAATCGAAAAATCGAAAATCGAAAAATCGAAAAATCGAAAAATCGAAAAATCGAAAAATCGAAAAATCGAAAAATCGAAAAATCGAAAAATCGAAAAATCGAAAAATCGAAAAATCGAAAAATCGAAAAATCGAAAAATCGAAAAATCGAAAAATCGAAAAATCGAAAAAATCGAAAAATCGAAAATCGAAAAATCGAAAAATCGAAAAATCGAAAAATCGAAAAATCGAAAAATCGAAAAATCGAAAAATCGAAAAATCGAAAAATCGAAAAATCGAAAAATCGAAAAATCGAAAAATCGAAAAATCGAAAAATCGAAAATCGAAAAATCGAAAAATCGAAAAATCGAAAAATCGAAAAAATCGAAAATCGAAAAATCGAAAAATCGAAAAATCGAAAAATCGAAAAATCGAAAAATCGAAAAATCGAAAAAATCGAAAAATCGAAAAATCGAAAAATCGAAAAAAATCGAAAAATCGAAAAATCGAAAAATCGAAAAATCGAAAAATCGAAAAAATCGAAAAATCGAAAAATCGAAAAATCGAAAAATCGAAAAATCGAAAAATCGAAAAATCAAAAATCGAAAATTCGAAAATCGAAAATTCGAAAAATCGAAAAATCGAAAAATCGAAAAATCGAAAAATCGAAAAATCGAAAAATCGAAAAATCGAAAAATCGAAAAATCGAAAAATCGAAAAATCGAAAAATCGAAAAATCGAAAAAATCGAAAAATCGAAAAATCGAAAAATCGAAAAATCGAAAAATCGAAAAAATCGAAAAATCGAAAAATCGAAAAATCGAAAAATCGAAAATCGAAAAATCGAAAAATCGAAAAATCGAAAAATCGAAAAATCGAAAAATCGAAAAATCGAAAAATCGAAAAATCGAAAAATCGAAAAATCGAAAAATCGAAAAATCGAAAAATCGAAAAATCGAAAAATCGAAAAATCGAAAAAAATCGAAAAATCGAAAAATCGAAAAATCGAAAAATCGAAAAATCGAAAAATCGAAAAATCGAAAAATCGAAAAATCGAAAAATCGAAAAATCGAAAATCGAAAAATCGAAAAATCGAAAAATCGAAAAATCGAAAATCGAAAA